GACTTTCCACTGTATTTTGAATTTCCCTGAATAAATTCTTCATATCGAGGATGTCTGATTGATTCTTCTTCAAGATGTCGATCTCCTTTGTGAATCTTTGTTCCAATTCTTGTATCTTCTTTGTAGTTTCTTTGTGTTGGTTATCCATTTTTTTCTTGCATTTCATTGAGCTTTTTAACAATCCGATTTTGGAATTCTTCTTCTGTCATTTTAGTGTTTTAGGTTTGTTCAGACTCCATTTCTTGAGAGCTGGTGTATTTCCTAGGGGGAGTATTTTCGGCTTAATTCTTTGAATTGCGTTGGGCCCTCCCCATCTGGGTCAATTGCTATAGCTCAGTTGTCTACTTTTTGTAGTTTCTTGATCTACAACTGGGGGGAGCTCTTCAACCACACTTGGAAGGTTCCCCTGACGGGGTAGCTTTTGGGGAATGTGGGCTTTCTCGTCTTGCCCTGCTTCTAGGGGTGGAGCCTACCACTTTGGGCAAGAGAGATGCGGGCTGAGGGGAGGAGGTATTCTCCCCATTCTGCCTTGCACCCTGGCGCCCCAGTGGCTGTAACTCCCCTCCGCTGCTAGACTTCTCAGTAGATCCTTGATGGAGCCAGGCCTGACAAGCCGATGGCAGATTGTGTAGGGGCAGGATTTGCCAGGGGAGATTCTAGGGTGGGTGGGGGTGGGGGGCTTACCAGCTGATGGCTGGGCTGTAAGACCCCCTCAGTGGCGATTGCTAGCCCACTCGTAGGGCACCAGTACGGGGGGCGACTGATTAGGGTGCAGCAGGTGCCGGGTTGGGGGCCTGGGTCAATAGGACATATAGGCTTAGGTTCCTCCACACCGCCTGCCCTACGGCCTGATCAGTCGGAGCCCACACTTTTACTGACCCGCCCTGTGCGGTTTTATTCACCCGGGGCAGTTCCAACTTAGAGCCCCCGCTTAGTCTCCCTGGTTAACACAGGCGAGACCTGTAACTGCCTCTCTGGTCGGCGCAGATCAGTTACCTCCCATCTTGGAGCCGTCCTAGCGGGGCTCAGGGGAGACCACGCTGCCGCCTTTCACCATCAACCACACCCTCCAGCACCCTCTTTTCCAGTTTCAGACAGGTCCCTGGCTGGGTGGGTGTGGAGGTCGATGAGGAAGCAAGGAGTTCTCCTGTGGGTCTGATCCCACTCCACCCCCTGGCCTGGCGGGCTGGCGCCCTCCCACGTGCCCTATTGTTTGCTTTGCAGTCTCCTGAGAAAGTGATCTTATTTCCCGGTCACCTTGTTTATCCTTTTATGAGTTCCACGTTGCTCCTGTGCGGATTCTCAATGCTGTCCTTGTAGTGGGGAGATCCACTGGCGTAGGAGACCAAGATCTGTGTCTCCTTCTCTGGGAGCGGAAGTCTGGAGAGTTATCTCTACTCTGCCATTTTTCTGAATCCCTTTGCTAGAGTTTTTGAGCAGAGTAGTGGCATATTAACAAAGAGTTAATGGAGCAGAGAGTATTGTCTCCAAAGTAAAAATGCCTGTTTGAATCTTGATCCCATCACTAATCAGTTGTGTGATCCTGGGAAAATTCTCTAAGTTTTGGTGTCATCATCTATAAAAGAGAGCAAGAATAACATTCTGCTCTTAGAGCTGTTATGAAGGTGAAATGAAATAATATAGGTCAAGTGCTTGCATAAGGCCTGGCACATATTAACAACATAAGGAATGCTATTTCCCCTAAATTAACATGATTAAAATATGTAGGCTGATAGGAGGCTAACTGGAATTAGAAGGTTGGCAGTAGAAATTTGGAAGAATTAAATAAGACCCATTTAAAAGGAAGACTTTGTGATTGTCAGAATTTAAGGTTTGAAAGAGAGAAAGGATGGGAAGAGAGAAACACAGAGACAATATTGTTTAATTTGAGTGGTTCGTATTTAGTCCTCTTCCCCTGCTTGGGTAATTTTCCACTTGTATGTATGAGCCTTGATGGGAGGCAGTAGTCCATCTCCCAGAAAACTGAAAAGATAGATACTATTTTCTTTGCCCCTGCAAGTTTAGGGCCCAGGACTGACCTAAAGCTAATCAACTGGATGCTTATAGGATTTAAAAGCTGAAGCATGTATTATGAAAAAGCAAGGATGCCCTTTTCTCATAGCCTTCCAATAAATTCCTTATCTGTTTGTTTGTTTATTAATTTATTTAGAGAGTCTCACTCAATCACCTGTGGCTACAGTGCTGTGGTGTCACCATAGCTCACAGCAACCTCAATCTCCTACACTCAAGCAATCCTCCTGCCTCGGCCTCCCAGAGTGCTGGGATTACAGGCGTGAGCCACTGTGCCTGGTCAAATTCCATATTGTTTTAAATGAGCCAGAGTTGATGTCCACTGAACTATGATTCTAAGGTCTCAAGTCTGGGAGACATGGTCAGAGAAGATTTGCACACACCAGGTTTGAGGTGAAAGCCAAACATCAAATAGATATTTTATGCAACTGGAAATATGAGAATGATTTATATCTTGCGAGAATAAGATATACTTGCGAGAGTATAACATATAGATCAATGCAGAGGTAACAGTTAAAGTCTTGAAAACGAGAGGTAAAGATGAAGGAGATGAAGAGCGTTAAGTAATGACTACAAAGCCTGGCACCAGTTCTAGGCAAATACTAGATACTTAATAATAAGCATTTGGAGATTATCTGGATCACGGTTTGAAATATTTATACTATAACCCTAATCAGTTATTTTATATATTTCTGTGCCATTCAGCCATCAAGCCTATATCTAAGAATTTAAGCATCCACAAACACATAGCACTGTGTTGTACGTTATGTGGGATAAAACATATTAATATATAGAGATCTTATAGTCTTTGCTTACATGAACCTAAAAGTTAAATAACAATACAACACTTTCCATTAGAGTATATAATTTTATATTCCTTAAAGATGTCACATAGAAGAGGAACCTTTAAATGTGATTAATATATCAAGGGCTTTAGTCATATAATTAATTCAAGAGATGGGAAAGATGACCTTCCTTCTTTTGGCAAATACTTATGGATGCTGTCTATATACAAAGCACTATACTAGGCTCTGGGAATATATTAGTGAACGGAACAAACTCCTTGCTTTTCTAGAGCTTATTTTGAGGGAAGAGGTAGATAGACCATAAACAAACATATCAGGTGTGATGAAGAAACATAATGCAGAGTAAGATAAAAAGTGGCAGGAAAAAGGTTAGAAAGCGGTGGGCAAGAGGTTGCTACTAAATGGTCATGGAAGGCATCTTTGGTAAGTTGACATTTAGTGAGCAGATCTGACTGAATAAATTCTGCTGGGCACTTCAGTATCAGGGGGCAGACTGTTTCAGTGAGAGGAACAGCTAATGCACTATCCCTGATGTGGATAAAATGTTTGGCATGTTGGAAGAATGAGAAGACCAGTGGGGCTAGGATAGGAGGATCAGGGAGGGAAGAATTAGAATGAACTAAAATCAGACAGGCAGAAGTCAGAGGAGTACTGTCAGGGAATTGCAGATTATTAGTACTAGGAATTCAGAGAAATGAGAGACCAGTGTGTACTGAGAGAGAATACAAGCAAAGCTTCTAGCATAATACCTGGCACCCAGTGGGCACTATGTATAGTTTTGTCGCTATTATTTTTAATGTTAGCAAGAATGGCTGTAGGAATGGAATTCTCAGATACCCTTGACCCACATTTCCCAAATGTTTATGTTTCACTACATTTGCTTTTTATGTATGTGTATATAGCGCATGTATTTTTTTCCTGAACTGCTTAAGAGTAAGCTGAAAAAATGGTGCCCTTATACCCCTAAATAACTTTAGTGTATCTTCCTCAAAATAAATTTTTATAAAACCAAAATACAATATTCAAAACCCAGAAATTAACATTTATACAATGTTATTATCTAATCTATAGACTTATTTGGATTTTATAATTTGTCTCAATTATGTCCCTTAGAGTAAAAGACAATCCAAGATGATGCATTATAATAGTTGTCATGTCTCCTTAGTCTCCTGTAATCTGGAACAATTCTTGAATCTTTTTAGTATTTCACAATATTGACATTTTTTAATACTACAGACAAGTTACTTAGAATGGCTTTCAATTTACGCTTGCTTCTTTTTTTTCCTCATGACTAAATTGGTTGTTAACTTTTGGCAAGAATATGCCAGATGTGCTGCTGCTTAGCCTCATTTCTGGCAACATTACCTTTGATCATTTGGCAAAGGTGCTGGGCACCAGTTTTCTCCACTATGAAGAAAGATACTATCTTACTCTTTGTAACTAATAAACAAGTGGCTGAGAGACTAAATATCCTGTTCTCAGTCTATCGTCCACTAGTCTGAGCATCCATTAATGATTACTGAATGATGACTGAATCAGTTATTATTATGATGGTTGCCAAATAGTAATTTTTCTAATGTCATCTTTCTTTCCACATTTACTGTAAGAAAGAGCTTTTCATGCTCCCTTCTTTTTTTTTTGGCTTTTCTCTCTCTCTTTTTTTTTTATTTCGGCATATTATGGGGGTACAAATTTTAAGGTTTCAATAAATGCCCTTTCTCCCCCTCCCCCCACAAGTCTGAGTTTCCAGCATGACCATCCCCCAGATAGTGCACATCTTATTCATTATGTATGTATATACCCGCCCCCCTCCCCCCTGCCCATTACCCTATTACTGTATTTGTATCAGTGTGGACTCATGGAAATTTATTCATTTAACAGGTTATAATCGTTTACTATCATGATTTATTTTAATGCTCAAAGTATTCCAGATTCATACAGTGGTAGCCTCTACACATTGCTTCCTCTGTCTTTTGACCTGTTTCCATCATTCCTTGAGTACTTCCTTATTTCCTTGCACTAGAGTATGTCCCAGGCTTATCTTATACCTTTTCTGTCCCTGTCCTACAACCAGCCATTTCGCCAAAGAACTTTTTTGCCATATATATTACTTATTAAAATTCCTTTTTTTTCTGTTCCCCTAAATAAAAGATTATTCCATACCTTTTGTTGAATCCATTCCTCCAACTGCAAATAATGTGCCAACAGTTGACTTCCTAGGTTTTGTCCGAGGACTTTGTAACATGGGTCGTCTCTCTGGTAATAAATGATACTTCATTGCTTCCATAATGAGTTTCTGACACTCTATATCATCCCGAAAAAGTGCATTATTTTCCATGTCTGCCAGGAACTAGAAAAGAATAGCGAGTGTACTCTGAATGGCTAAGAAAATGGTAAAAACAATAAATCATATAATTCTTAAATGGAAATTATTTCATATTTTAAAAAATTCAAGTCTGGGCACATATTTTAAACTAAAATATGCAACACTTACAAGATTTACATTTTAAATTTTATTGAAAACCAAAACTGAAGAGCATACATGGTATACTCTAAAATCTTAATTATTAATACTATAGTGTTTATGTTTGGGTAGTAGGAATACTGGTGCATTTTAAATAATATTTTTACTACTTTTCTATAATTTCCAGATTTTCTAAAGCAAATCATCTTACTTTTTCCATTAGAAATAATTTTAATTGAAGAAGAATAAATGTATGTGGGAGTTGATTAATTAGACTACATTTATCTGACTTCTTTCTCTAAGCAATGTTCAAATAGCAAAAGCAAAAACAAAACTTACCAATTTCTCAAGGAGCAAAGAACTCTAAATGGTTATTATTCTAAAAAAATTAAAGTCTCTTGTGCTTCACTGAATCCTATTTAATTATATATAAATGCACACATATAGTTACACTCTGCCTTTTTAAAAATTAAAGTCTTTTCCTTTTATGCTTGGTACTGCATCACCCCTCCCTATCCCACAATCCTTCCCTGCCTTATAAACAACCTAGTATGCATCCTTTCATATTGTTCTCCATACTTATAATGCTCTACGGATATAATCCTCACATATATTAATAGGTATACAGTTTTCTTTTATTGTTTTTATTATATGCTTTGCTGCATCTTACCATTTTTACTCAACAATATCTCATGAAAATTCCTCCGTCTTCCTGAAAAGATGTATTAATATAGTTCTGATTTATTCTTTTTAATCACTGAATATTCCACAGTATATATATATATATATATATATATATACACTAATTTTTCAGCCATTTCCTTATTTTAGACATTTATTTTGTTTCCAGTATGTATACACATTCATACATATACACATGTATACATAGATACATATATGTATACACTTTTTTTTTTTATCTTGCTACTAAAAACAAGTCTTGTACAGAAGTCCTTATGTACCAATTTTACCTTTATGGGATAGATTTTTAGGAACTGAATTGACTCCAGGCAGGTCAAACACACAAGATAAATGTTGTCAGATTACTTTCCAAAGAGACTGTGGCAATTCACATTTCCATCAGCCATGTCTGAGAGTGTAACATTCATGCCAGGAGTAAGTGTTTTAGCTCTTTTTATTTTTGCCAATGATATCATATTTTCCCTTTAACTTGAATTTTCCTGATGAGTAAATATAAGCATCTATTTTATATTTTGGCCAGCTGTAATTTTTATTCTCCCTTTGTCTGGCTCCTTTTTTTCTATTGTTTATCTTTTGACTGGAAATTAGTAACAGTTCTTTATAACACTAATCCTTTTTTTTTCTAGATTTATTATTTGTCAAGATTGTTTCATAATACTTTTGCTATACAAGCAATTTTCATTTTTAGGTTATCAAATATGTATCTTTCTTTTCATTGCTTCTGAATTTCCCATCCTGGTTAGAAAGTCTTTTTGCTCCAGTTTGTGGACTTAGTCTCTTAGATTAGCTGGCAAGATTTTATTGCTTTCTTTCATTTAGGCCATTGATCCATGTGAAATTATTTGTAATTCATTTTTAAACAGAGTATGAGTGAATGGGCATTTTTATTTTCTTTCAGATGAATAGCCAGTTCTGTACCAGCACCATTTATTAAATAATCCCTTCCATGTCCAGCTGAATTCAACCTTGGTCATTTGTTACATTCTCATAAATATATCTCAAGATATATGAGATCTATTTTTTTTATTCCTTATTCTATTCTATTGATCTATTTGTCTATTCCTATTCTAATACTATACTTTATTACAGTGTCTTTATAGCATATTCTAATGTCTGATATTATAAGTCTCCCCTTGCTGTTAATTTTCATGTGTTTGTGTATATATATATATATTTTTTTTAAATTTCAGAATATTATGGGGATATAGATGTGTTGGTTACATGGATTGCTTTTGTATTGTTTGAATCAAAGTTACAAGTGTGCCCATCACTCAGATAGTGTAATTGTACCTGTTAGGTATGATTTCCTCTATCCCCTCTCCTTCCCATCCCCATCTGCATGATTGCCTTTGACTTTTACTTCCTTCTGTGCACATGGTGTGCTGATCAGTTAGTTCTAATTTAATATTGAGTACATGTAGTGTTTGTTTTTCCATTCTTGTGATATTTCACTTAGGAAGATAGTCTCCAGTTCCATCCAGATTGTTGCAAAAGGCATTAATTCATTTTTTTTATGGCTGAGTAGTACCTCCATAGTGTACATATACGACGTTTTATCACGCATGAATTGATGGGCACTTGGGTGGATTCCACCTTTGTGATTGTGAACTGTGCTGCATTAATATTCTAGTGCAAGCGTCTTTTTGAAAAAAATGACTTTTTTCCCTTTGGGTAAATACCCAGTAGGGGATTGCTGGGTCAAATGGTAGGTCTACTTTTAATTCTTTGGGAATCTCCATATTATTTTCCATAGAAGTTGCACTAGTTTGCAGTCCTACCAACAGTGTATAAGATTTCCTTTCTCTCCACATCCATGCCAGCATGTACAGTTTTTGGACTTTTTGAAAAAAGCAATTCTCACTGGGGTTAGGTGGTATTTCATTGTGGTTTTGATTTGCATTTCTTTGGTGATTTTTATTTTCTATTTATTTTTTTATTTTTATAGACAGGTCTTGCTTTGTTGCCTAGGCTGGAGTGCCATGGTGCTCTCATAGCTCACTGTAACTCCTGGGCTCAAGTGATCCTCCTATTTCAGCCTCCTGAATAGCTGGGACTATAGGCATGCGCCACCATGCCCAGGTAATTTTTTAATTTTTTGTAGAGATGAGATATCACCATGCTGCCCAGGCTGGTCTGAACTCCTGGCTCAACTCCTGCCTTGGCCTCCCAAAGTTCTGAGATTACAGGCATGAGCCACTGTGCCTGGCCTCTTAGCTATTTTAGAGCCTTTATTTTCCATATAAATTTACAATAAATTTATTCAATTCCCTTTCACCATCCTGATTCCAATAGGAACTGCATTAAGTTTATTTATTAATTTTGGGAGAATTTAGATTTTTTATGATGTTAAGTTTTCTGTTCAAGAGCCTTTCTATTTGTTGCAGTGTCCTCCATATAGGTCGCATGCCTTTCTTTTATTAAATATATTCCTACATACTTTATTACTTTTCATTGCTATTGGGAATAGATTTAAAAATTTTCATTTTGTATATGTTTTGCTGGAAAGATGTTTCTTTCCAGCATGTTTGTGTACAAGTCTTTGTGTGGACATATTTTCATTTCTCTTGGGTAGACACCTACGAATAGAATTACTGGGTCATACAGTAAATTTATGCTTACCTTTTTATGAAACTGCCAAATTGTTTTCTAAAGTTGACGTACCACTATATAATCCCACCAGCACCATATGCAAATTCTTGTTTCTGTATAACCGCACCAACAATTGCTACTATATCTTTATTTCAGCCATTCAGGTAGATGGATGTTGTGGTTTTATTTTGCATTTCTCTAATGACTAATGATGTTGAGACTATGTTCATGTTTTGATAGTGGAAATCTTTTAACAAAAGTCACCCTTAAAAATTTATGAGATTTAGAAACCAAGCATACCAAAAGCGAAAAAGCCAAACTAAGACATAAGTCCTGGCCAGGCACAGTGGCTTAGGCTTGTAATCCCAGCACATCGGGAGGCTGAGGTGCAAGGATCATTTAAGGCCAGGAGTTCAAGACCAGCCAGAGCAAAAAATAGAAAAATTAGGCAGGCATGGTGGTGAACACCTGTAGTCCCAGCTAACTCGGAAGGCCTCAGCCTTGAGCCCATGAGATTGAGGCTATAGTGAGCAGTGACTGTGCCACGGCACTTTAGCCTGGACAACAGAATAAGACTCTATCTCAGAAAAAAAAACACGGCCCACAACCTATGCCTGAATATAATTTCTGATATTACTTACTGCATATTTTTCCTATACACACAAAGCATAGTTATACTTGCTGTAGAAACCATTAGTAAATATGCATTAAGTTGGCTCATTTAGATTAATCTAAATGTTTACATTACTTCTGTTATATATAATTACTTTAGTCTTTTCTAAATAAAAATAAAATGAAAAAAATAATAGAAAGTAAAATCTTGGGAGACTTAGTAGTAATGGCAATTTGAAGTAAAATATATTTCTAGCATGCTGACAGTCTCTATAATTTAAAAATGAATGAGATTAATTATATTTGAGTAAAGAGATGAAAATAATAGAAGAAAATATAAAGCCATTAATCCAGAGATCAGATTAATCAAATGCAAGGTAACATATCATTCAGAAAATTATTCAGAAGGCAATGAGAGAAACTACAAAATATACTCTGCATTTTTGATGAATACTAAATGCCTTCTCTGCCATGAGAGAATGGCAAATTATTAAAATGCAAGCCTTTAGAACACAGGAGAAACATGTCTATTTTGTGAATTTTTATTTTCACTACCATACTTGTTTACCAAATGACTATTTCTATAAATTGTCCCCTCTGACACAAAAAGGATGTGAATTATTTATGAACTCTACAGACTTTCAAAAAATGTTTGGGTATCAAAAATTTGTAAACTAAAAGAATGCTAAAGGTAAATACTGACTTATTTATATTTCTGGCTTTTAGTAGAAAACAACAGAGCACTGAGAACTGAGAGTGGAACAATGGAGACCAAGATACTTGTAAATTTAGCCTAACATTGAGAATATTGAACAATTTAGATGTTCAGATTTTTTAAATAATGTGTATATGTCCTAGTATTTCTGTTTACATTGTTTAAAATCTCATCAATTTGAAAGTTTGGAATGCCTTCAAAAGTAAAATAATATGACCATGAACACTTGTCCTCTGGATTATTCAGAGTTAAACAAAAAACCACACTGAAATGAACATTTCATTTGGTATAGGATTACAATTACATGCATTATTTCCTAGGCCATTTTAAGGATCTACTGTTGGAGACACTATGATAATAAAATTATTATATGTAAGTTGAACCCCTTCTAGCTGGGCTAAATAGAATGTTTCATATTAACAGAGTAGGCTAAAACCTCATTTAGTTGGTATTGTTGAGAAAGGAAATATTTGACAAAGTAAATTCTCTAGGCAACTAGACCTAACCCCAATTTAAAAAATATTGGTCATTTATTGTCTAACAACAATAAATTTAATTGTTTACTGCATTAAACAATTTAATAATCGTTACATTTTCCTACCTTTAAAAATAAAACATGCAGAACACAATCCAACATTTTCTTGGTGATTTTAGTGTCTACTTCAAAACTTTCTTACTTGATAACTCTAATTCTGCAATCTTGCCCTTTACTTTTACCAAAGGGGATGAGGGGAAACACTGCCTGTATCTTTAAATGTCACAATACTGCAACATAGTTTTAATATCACCATAGGGGAAAAAGCATGGCTAAGAGAGGTGAAGTAGTTAAATCATACAGGGCAATGTGGCTTCCCTCATCACCTCTCATCGTGGAACAGTCGTTTTCAAACTTGAGGATGCATCAAAGCCCCTGGAGGGCTTATTAAAACACAATTTGGTAGACTCCACCCCCAGAATTTAACATTCAGTTGGTGTGAGGTGAGGCCCAGTAATCTGCATTTCAAACAAGTCCCCAGGTCGTGCTGGTCCCATACTGTTCTGGGTCATACTTGAGAACCACTGGGCTAACTCACTGGATTTTCCCTACTTATTTGTCTTCTCTGTAGCATCTGAGCAAGTTAAAGCTTCCTCCTTTTTGATGTTGGAATCATTTTTAGTAGTGCTCCACTTATTTAGTCAGGTTTGGGGACAACCACTAAATATTAGTGTTTCCAGGGGTTACATCCCTAGCACTCTTGAGTTCTCCTTGGCAAGTGTCATTCTCTTGCCTTTGGCTTCAACAACCTAAATAAGTAGTTTTCAAAGTTTCTTCTTAGACTCCAAGAGTATTAAAGGTGCCAAGAAGCTTTGGGTACATGATTGTCCCACTTCCTCACCCCCTAAATTAGCCCTATATCCTATATTCCTTGTCTCAATTGACAGCACCTTCATTAACCTAGCTGCACAAATCAGAATCATTCTGGACACCGCCCCCCTCTTTTGGTGCCCTCACCATTCAGTCACTCATTAAGTTGTATCAATTTGACCTCCCAAATAGCTCTTAAGCCTAGTAATTTCTGTCAACCTCTACCGCCAGAGAGTGCCTAATTCACTTGTCTGAATTCCAAAAGTCTTCCAAATGGGTTTCTAGTTTTGACTCCTCCAATCTATTCTCCACAACGCAGGCATAGTAATCTTTCCAAAATAAATTTATAATTATGTCATTCCCTCTTAAAAATCTTTTGCTTTTAGGATAAAATCCAAGCTCCTTGGCATGACTAGAGGTTCTTCATGCTCTGGTCCTGTGCCCTTTCCAGCCTTATCTCTTACCTTTGCCTCCTTTTATTTCTGCACTCTACCCATGCAAACTATTTTCAAATACCAGAACAATATGTTCACTCATGACTCCATAACCAGGCACAATCTCCTCTGTCTCCTGTGCATTGTGCTCCCTCTTTTGGATGGCTACTTCATAACGCAGAGCAAGTGACACTTCAGGAAGTTCTCCCTGCTTCCCTGCCACCAGTTTGGGTGGGCTACTTCTATTATTTTCATAATGCCGTGTTCACCTATCGGTCACAGACTTCATTATAACTACTGATTTATTTTTCAATCTATTTCTTCCTCTGATACCTCCCTGCAAAATCTTACATGCTAGAGGCAGAATGGTTTAGTGGAAACGGCACAGAACTGTACTTGCATTCAAGTCCCACCTCTGCCTCTCATTAGCTCTACGATGTTAGCCAAGGAGCAAAGCCAAATAAACTCCAATGAAGAAGGAGAGGAATTTATGCAATCACCTTGCGATTTTGAACATATAGTTTTACTTTTCTGGTCTGTCACTTCATTTGTACAATAGGTGTTGGACTAAATGATCTCCAAAGTGCGTTTTGACTCTAAGAACTTATAAATAGCAGCAGCATCCTGGATAACAGAAATTTTACAGGTCTGTGAGCGTCATGCAGATATAAATATTTGAAGCTGCAAAATTGCAGTAAATTGTCAGGTTATTTAATTGCATGGATTCTTTTCAAAGTCTAATAGGATTTTTCAGATTTCCTTTTATTTCTAGAAAGAATTAAAAAAATCTGCTAAGTAGCAGTAAAAATATAACTCCCTTCTTTAAATCTGATTTCAAGAGAAACTTTTTATTATGTTATTCTTCCTGAACTGTCATCACTTCATGTGGTTTCACTCCTGTGTATTCATACAATAGTCTACCTCTGAAGGGGGAATTCTTATAAAGCATCACCACTGATTATTGTCTCTGTAAGGTAGAGAGCAAACAGTAACTTTCGCTCACAACCACAGCAAATAATATATTATGCTCAAGACAAATAGAAGATAATACTTATGGCTCTTTAAATAAAAAAAAGAAAAGAAAGTCTGACCTTGAACAGCAACAGCTGATTCCTTCTCTGCTTTCAAGGTCTCTTTCTCCATTTAAGGCCTTAAGGCCTTGAAACAGGCAACAAAGTATGCAGGGGAAATTTTTTGTATATTTCAGTGAAAATTATAAGAAGGGGAAACTATGGATATAAATACATTATGACTGATTGCCTTGAATGTACCAATTGGATATCTTTTAATCTTCTTTATTAATGATAATAACAATAATGATATTATTTGTAGCATATTTTATTTTATGGAACATGTTTCTGAGCCTCATAATAATTTTGTGAGATAGGGAGGATATTATGAAGAAGCTGAGGTTTGTGAATATGCCAAGTAACAGAGTTTTAAAATGTCAGAACTGGAATATTATCATATCTCACTAATCTATATATCACCAGAATCCAGTATTTAGTGAATACTTAATAAACATGTGGCAAACGAATTAATCTAAGTTTTCTGGTTTCTAGATTCCAGTGTTTTCCTTTTATTAGCAGCTTTACTAATTTTTCTCCAATTGGTAGGATAGGTTTATAGCTGAGTCAAATAAATTTATTAACCTCAAATCAAGGATGTCACTTAATTGATACAATGTAGGCAGCCAGACTTTCTGGATTGAAAACAGAAGCAGAACTTTGTTACCTTACTATCTTTTCACCTACACATTTCATAGGAATATATATAGGCAAAGGTATACATAGGCAAAGAAAAAAACCTATAAACAAAATAACTATTAATTACCTGTGGTGCAAGAAGAGGTAGCCTAATATAAGCCAGAAGTTTACTGAGATCTTTCCGTCTCTGTTCCAAATCATGACGGACCCAAGTAAGAAGTGCATTCAATATTGTCTCCTCATTAGGAATGTTCATGTCATCACTGGCCAAGAGCTTTGCAATTTCGCTGGCTGGTAATAATACAAATTCCTGGTTTCTGATGACTTCCATAAAATGCTCCTAGAGGGAAGAAATAGCAGATAAACAATATTGTTTCTTCTGGCCATCACAGTTTATTTAAAAGAAACTAGAAGTTTTTTGTATTAGATGCCAAAACATAATTTATATTTAAGACCTTAAAATGTATTTCCACCTCCTAGGAAAGAAACACAGCAGAAAAAAACATTTAAACTACAATTATGTTGATAAACATATATAAGTAGAATTAAGGTGCTGTTTCACTGATTACATTTTTAAAATGGACCTAAGACATGTAGGTACCATTTTGCCTAAGTAAGAAAATAGTTTTGGCAAGTCTTTTGAAGGAAGATAGAAAAACTGAATTAGACATAAGATGTCTAATACTCTACCATCATTAGTTAGTGTGGATTTGTGGTTGCTAAAGAATCTGGCTAACAGTGGAGCCAAATGCCTAGATGAGCTTAAAGTTATTTCTATTACCCAGAAATGTGTTCCAGGCTGGCGAGATTTCCCAAGACCACTCTAGACCACAGAAGTCTTCCCAGACCCTGCCCAGAAAAAGTATTGGACCTCAGGGCTATCCTAAAACCAAACTTGCCTTTGAAATTGTTTTAATGTTATTTATAAGACCATTTAGAATTTTAGGTCTGTTTCAAAATTTTTAATCTCTTCTAATCTGATTTCTTTACAAAGTTCTTTTGGTCTCATAGGAAAAAGAACCAAAGCCAAAGTGCTTATCTAGAATGCACTGACACCAGAACCTGAGACTGAAGATGACTCAGTCCTGGACTCACGCTAGAGTCAAGCTCTCTATAATTCGAAATGGGAGCTAGAAATGCCCTTGGGTGTGAGGTGACCTTTTAGGGTCATTATGAGAAATAATTTGGAGAGAAGAAAATATACTCTATGATTTGAATGGTCACAAATCTTAATGCATGGATAGTTGACACAGTCATAACATAAATGCAAATGGTAGACATATTGTCCTTTAATGTTTTTCTTATCCTTCCTAATGTACTGTCACTGTCTCAGCATGCTGAGTTTTAGTAAAGTGGCTAAGGCTGTTTAAATTAGGGCTGGAGATAAGAACTATCCATAACTATCCTCCATATTAAAATGAGAATCACATTTTCTATATAATCTGTGGTAACCTAAGTGAGATACTAATCTCAAATATATCTTGCGTTGACATTCCTTTCAGCAGAAATTCTTAAAGGAAAACCATTCATGAATAATTAACTAAATTCAATTGCTTCAACTTATCATAATTTCTTAAAAGATGCCCAAATGAGTCTATTTTAAATGACTGATTATCATCTTCAGAAATATATTTTAATAAAACCTCAGTGCTGGAGTGGCTTTAAGCAAACTGTTCTACTCAATTAGTATACTGACATTATAAAATGATTTGGTATCACATAGCAAGAGCCATAAAAATGTTGAAACTCTCAACCCAGTTATCCTACTTGTAGTTTAAACCTTAATAAATAATTCATAAGCAGAACACAAAACTGAATACCCATCAATGCTTCTCTGTATTATTATCTATAATGGTAAAAAGTGGGAAATAGCCTAAATGTTCAGCTATAGGGAATGTGTAATAAAAAGGCATTAAAAACGTCAAGGACAAAGATCACACAGCTACATGGAAAGATATTTATTATACAATATTAGGTGAGTCTCTGAAGAAATCAAATATTCATTTCTAATTACTTAAGGGTATAGTATACAGTATAATCAACACATTTATACAATACTGGTGTGACTACTGCCCTACTTTCGAATAGTATTAATTGCATTTAACTAGTAAGAAAAGGTCTGTTATATAAATATTCATTTGACAAGTTATTTGTTGATATATTTGAGAACAATGCACATTCCACTCTAGTATAATTTATATTAAGTGAAAATTGAGTTTTCAACAATTTATGAAATACTACTGAACTCAAGATTCAACACGAAGTGTTTTTCAAAAACATTAATTTGGTTTTACAGCTAATTTAGCAGAATTCAATGTTTTTATAAGTTTTCTAGATTGAGAAACAAAATTTTAAAGTTTGAAATTAAGTATTTATATTTGTTTCATAAATCTATAATGGCATTAAATAGTTATAATGATATAACCAGTGTTTTTAGAGACATGGCAGTTAGAATGAGAAAAAAGGTTTCCAGACTCCACGATCCTGAGGAAGTACTCATCCTTTCCTACCTGTATTCATGCAGGGTGGGTGGACACCCCAGGACGAGTGTCATTTACTGACTGAACTCGCTGGTGTGGCACTACGCTTACTTCATATTTTACTAGCATTTTGTGATATAAACAATTATGTTACCAAACACTTGCTAGCATTGTGCCCTTTCCCTTTTGGAATAGGTTTTAAGCAAATGATGTTACTGAGGGATTTATTTAAATTGAAGATTGAATTTTGCTATACATTCTCATTCAGTTCCCATAGCAACAATTCAAATCAATCTGCTTCTAAATTACTTACTGTTATTAGAATTCAATTTCATGTCTCTGTTAAAACTGAGTAACATAAAATAATGACCTTGAGAAAAAAAATCTACCCCAACTAATTGGCTATGAAAATAGGTTTTAAAACCCGTAGCTAGTTTAAATTTATGTGTAAGCCATGAAGCAGCAATTGTGCCTCTACGGTAAACAACAGGAGTGATCTAAATGTTTAGATCACTGCATACAAATGTTTTCACATGAATAAAACATCTTCCTGGGAAAAAGATATTACTCAAATTATGAACTTAATTATGAAAGAAAAAAACCTTTATTTTATTCATATTTATTTATATTCATCTTGTTCCAAAAAAGTATTTGAAACTGCAGGTGTGAGGTTAAAATGAGAAACCTACAAAGAATGAAAAAGACTGAGAAGGGAAAACCATTCAATGAACTTAATTTTCAAAATGTTGACCTAGTACCATGCTAGGTCTGTATATTTTTGTTCTGTTGCACAATCTCTTATTTTTTCAGTTGAAGCCCTAGGACAATCATAAACAAGAAACATTCCTGAGAAGTGATTACACCACAGGGAGAAAACCAATGATAAAGGGTGTGGTTTCATATGAGTGCTTTTGTTCCCTCACATAAATCCCTACTGTGTCGAATGAAGTAAACTATACGATGATGATGACAATGCAATGATATTTATTGACTAGGATATGACACGCCAATCACTGTTCTGAGTGTTAAACTTCTATTAATTCACTTAAAACCTCTTATCAAGCTTATGACGTAGGTAGAATTAATCTTCCCAAGAGTTTGTAAATACCTATGCCTACAATTTTTCTAAATCTCTATTTCTTTAATGAAAGATTCCTGAAGCACCATCAATCTCTTCATAGCTCAACAAGCTCAATGGAAGGATGGAGGAAAGGATAGATCAAATAACATTTCCTAAAAGTTGATAAGATCAGTAATATGGATATCTGTACATGTATGTGAAGGTTCACATTCTTTCTTCTCTTAGAGACTGTATTTCCTTAGTTTAAGTATTTAAAACAATAGTCTTCAATCATTGTTCGTAATATGGCAACATGCTCATTCCTTAAAAATCCACATACTCTCTCTTCCCCACACCCCTCAACTGTTACAACCATGAAGGCTGGTCCAAACAATAAGCCCTCAATATGCCCTTATTTTATTGCTATCCTAAACCATTTGGTATTCCGTTGTCCTTCAGGCTACTAGATCAGAATCTCCTCTGTGATCTATCTTGAGTATATAATTTGCTACAATTAATAACATCATTCAACATGGCTACAAATACTTCTTACATACGGTCAGATTTATCCTTAATAAAGTGTCCCATTCAACCTCTACCAATATACTACAACCACTATCATTAATTTCCATCAGTGAATATGTGAACAATTCTGAAATTTATCCATGTGCTATAAGGTAAACTGTTTGGAGAAGTCCTGCTTTAAAAAGCAACAGATCTGAAAACCTCAAATAGAACAGTTCTGGCCCACTGTTCTGCTTCCTAATGACTATAATTACTTAGGGCTTGACTCACATAATCAGGAAAAGCATTACTTGGTGTTTTCCCCTCATAACTCAATGAAAATATGACACACTAGACAGTGACCTTGAACCTCAAGACATGTGGCAGAGCCATGGGAAAACAGCAACATGTAGATAATAAGCCTGCAACAATGAGGAATAAGGCAGAGACGATATGCCTTCCTGCTTTTCAAATAATACATACCATAGTGTAATTATGCGCCACTTTATGCAAATCTGTACAACCTTGGGCATCAGCAAAAGAACGGATTCCCAGACAGTTGGATGGGTGAAGCTGTTTCATTAAAAACTTACAGCATGCTTCTACAACCTGCGAAAGCTGAAGAAGGCAAGCTGTAGATAACAGGCACTCAATATTATCTTCTTTTAATTCAAGGCGGCCTTCATGATAAAAAGAAATTCCATTAGCTATGGAACTACATTAACCCTATTTTATAAAATAACTGATGTTAACAGTAATATTTCTAAATAAGAGCTCATTACATGTATTACAGACCTAGATGGTTTAAGACATTCAAACAAGAAAACACAAGCATTAAATGTGGAAAAAACTTATTATCTCTTTGCAATCTCTAATAAAAAAATGATAAAAACTAAAATAAACTATAAAATAATGGCTTATTTTTAGAATTTTAAAATGATGCATTAATTAGTAATTTACATGTACTATATCTTGTATAGTTTTCAAATTTTAAATGTAAAACTTTGACATTACATAATTCATCAAATTATTACATTAATATTTTAAAATACCATTCAAGAGCTTAATTATAATAATCATTTTAAAGGTTTTAATATGGAGATTTTAAGCTACACAGGTATTTCCAGAGGTGGTGATAACAACAGCAGAATTAACTGTTAGCTACAGCATGATTTATTAGAAGCAGAAATCTGAAATCTAATAATATAATATAAATCTAAGAGATTTTAATTTGCATTTCCAGGCTTATTACCTGTATATGCATACTGAATCAAGGACCATAATGAATTTGGTTCTACACCTTCCATTTTTATTTCTTCTTGTCTTGCTTCTCTGACATCATTAGTAAACATGGCAGCAAAATAATCTGACACAGAGGAGAGCACCAATCTGAGAACACATTAGAAAAAAGAATCAATGACCACATTAAAGTTCATGTTCATTAATAAATGCTGCTGTTTCTTTTTTATTAAAATTCATAACCCATGGAAAGTGCATGGTACTGGAAATGCATCTTAAGTTTGACAAATTGCTTTGTGGGGGTCTACTTCTTTCCTTTGAATAATAAACTACCATTCCTGAAAATTTTCTGCTGAAGTAAATGGTTTACCTGCTCGCTATTCAAATATCGCTTTATAACATCCAGAAAACAAGCTACAAGCCCATAGCATTAAACCAACTATATACAAAAAGGAAAAAATGCAAAGGTTTTCTGTTTATCATTTTTGAAAATAACCTAAAGTATTTTTTTAAAATTTAATCATAGGAATAGTAAATATATGAGAGACATTTGAAAATTGTTTCAGCAAGTTATTTTTAACTTTTATGATAATTTTTATATTATTTTTGTATTTTGTCATATATTTGTTACAACACCCTAAAACTACAATATTTTGTTATAATATGTATTAGCTAAGTCTCTTCAGATTTTTGATACATAAAAATAAATTTAAGTTATAAATATTATATATTTGAAACATACACGTTTTCATTTGACAATGTCTTGAAGATATTTCCATGTCAGCACAGATTTACTTTATTCATTTTTTAAAGAAATAAAAATTATAATACAGATAACAACTGAAGCTCCCTTTGTGTCCTCTTCTAATTCCATTCTCCTCCCTTCCCAGGAATAGCATTGCTGAGTCATAAGATCTGCCAAATTGCTCTCCAAATCCTGTATCAATTTAGACCCCCACAATAGTGTCAGATGTTAAAATTTTGGGCCATCTGCAGTGTTAAATAGTATCTCATTGTTTTAATTTTTGTTCATCTGATTGCTAGTGAAGTTTTTCAAATGCTTATTGGCCATTCAGATTCCTTCTTCAGAGAATGGTCTATTTATTCATTCATTCATGTATTCATTCATTGAACAAATACTGACTGTGCCCAATAAGTACTGGCACTGCTCCAGATACTTGAGGTGTATCAGGGTACAAAACAGACAAAAGACCCCTTCTCTCATGGAGTTTTATATTTAGAGGGTAGGAAGACAAAGAGCGAACAACAGAAGTAAATTCTATGATAAATTAAATTCTATGGTAATTAATTAATTAATTAATAATTAATTCTATGGTAAGTGTATGGTAAGTGTTATGAGGGAAAAGGTAGGGTAAAGGCAAATGAGGAAAGGGTGGTGAGTTTAAATAGGTTGTCTCTTTGGCAGGTGACATTTGGGCAAAGATTTGAAGGAGATGCAGGATTTAGTCATGCAAGTATCTGGGAAGAGCTTCAGGCAGGAGTAGCTGGTGCAGAAGTCCAAATGCAAGGGCAGCATGCCTGGCATATATAAGGAACTACAAGAGGAAGTGGGTGGCTTGTGCAGAGAAAGCAAGATGGAGAGCTGTTCTGTTCTCTAGGACAGAACGTCAGGACAGAATGCCAGGCTGGATTGTACCGGCCACTGCACATACTTTGGCTTTCACACACAGTGACCCTGGGCGTCACTGGAAGGTTTGATCAGAGAAGCGACTGAATCTGAATTCCTTTTTTAAAGGATCACTCAGGTCTCTGTTCAAAACAGAATGTAGAGGAAAGAGTAGATGCAGGGAGACCAGTTAGAAGGCTTCTGCATTAGTAATCTAAGAGAGATGGTGATGGTAGGTAAGGTAATGAGTTCAGTTTTGGAAATATAGAATTTGAGATGCCTCTGTGAAATTCAGGTTGAAATACCTTTTCTAACAAACTCATGCTCATAACATGGACTTCGCATCACAGTAGATAGCAGTATCTCAATAAATGTATGCTAACTGAGTCACTGAAAACCAACCCCATTCTTCCTAATGATTTTACTCACACATTGGAGGGTTTAAAAGAAAAAACCTTTGGGATGAGTGTTAATTAGTTTTGAAGGGCATAAAAAAACCTTTGAGAATCATAGTGGTGATTAATAATGAACAACTGAATATAGAATTATCAGAAGAAAATGAATTATTCTTTATTGAGAAGCTCTTTTCTTTTTCTTTTTTTTTTTTTTTTTGAGACAGAGTCTCACTTTTTTGTCCAGGCTAGAGTGAGTGCCGTGGCGTCAGCCTAGCTCACAGCAACCTCAAACTCCTAGGCTCGAGCGATCCTTCTGCCTCAGCCTCCCGAGTAGCTGGGACTACAGGCATGCGCCACCATGCCCGGCTAATTTTTTATATATATATATCAGTTGGCCAATTAATTTCTTTCTATTTATAGTAGAGACGGGGTCTCGCTCTTGCTCAGGCTGGTTTTGAACTCCTGACCTTGAGCAATCCGCCCGCCTCGGCCTCCCAAGAGCTAGGATTACAGGCGTGAGCCACCGCGCCCGGCCTCTTTTTCTTACTTCAAGAAATAACACATCATTTGTGGCAAAGGCTTTTTTATCCCAGCACTGTTTTTTGTATTTCCTGGAGATCAGCAAACAGAAGCTGGGATAGATGTTGCTATTTCAAAATTCTTAAGACTTTTTGCTACTCCAATTCACCAGCTCTTTTGCTTAAATATACCCACAAGCTCTAATTTCCATTGAGTTTATTTAAAGTATTTAATAGGTAGAACATGGTATGAAAGCTGCTTGTAGTAGCTAAAATCTATACCAAACAATACTGACTTATTTGAGGCTCAGGTGTTTTGTTTTTGTGCTTCTACAGAGGGAAAATTGCCCTTATAGGTTCATTTACTGTGTAATAATTTCATATGCCTTTTTTTTCTGGTGGAAATCCCATGAAATATATCCCTTCCCCAAAACACAATAGACAGCTGCAGTAAGTTACCTCAATATACGTAGCTAAATTATCAAAGAACTATTTCACACATATAGAGATGTCAAAAACAGCTACCTGTGAGCTGGAATTCTGCGATCACCAGCAACTAAAATTACATCACACAACTGTTTATGTCTCAAATAGTTTTCCATTTTTTTAAATGTTTGCTCAGCATGATTAAGTGCTTGGAAAAATTCATCTGATGAGCATGGTTCCATAGTATGGCAGGATGATAATGTCTGGCTACTATTGGAAGTCCTGAAAAGAAAGAAAACATACATTTTGAATTATCCCTATCACTTTAAAAAAGATCTTCCCTATTAAGTCCTATTAAAGCCTTCAAATGTAATAGAAGAAATCAATGCTACCAAATCAATATTTATGTATAACATTCATCATTTTTGTCTTTTAAAATCAATGATGGCTCAAGTCATATGTGTCTTGTGAACACTGTAAGTGATATAACTTCTGTTCGTTAACAGCTACAAATATTCTTTGGAGTACCTTTTTTTGAGGTCTTTTCTCTGTTAAACCCAATGTCTCTGCTGAAAAAGAGCCAAGCTATATGCATATTGATAAGTTATATCTCTTAACATTATACTTAAGGGTATACTTAAGATATACATCCAAGCCATCATTTACCTAAAAAATGGGCTATGTTCCACAGTTCATTTGTAAAATATGTCATAAAAAATGTTAAAATAATTTTTTTTAATTCTCTGGCCAGTTCTCAAAAGTCTAGGTAACCTATAACTTTTATTACAGGTTAATGCAATTTAATAGCCTAATCCAGGTATCTAAAAAATTATTGGAAATTTCCAACTTATAATATGAAGTGTATGAGTTCTGTTTTCATCTGATTTACTGGTGGAAATTGTGAAAAAGTAAAAAGGTTAGTACTAAGAATGAAGTCCTGAATCCACACCCCTCCCCACCCGCAACCCCAAATAGCCTCTCCAGGATCACTTAAATGAAGTAATCAACATCCACTGGTTATGCAATTAACTACAAAACCACTGACTGTGCCATAATTTAGTTCTCATTTGTCATCACATCTTCTTTTAAGGATATTGTGATTCTGACAAATGCTTGCTGGATAAAGCCTCACTATATCTTAAGAGAATCTTCTTAATATAACTATCTAATACCTTATCAAAAAAGAAAAAGTCATTGATCTCTTAAAGGGATTTGATATCAAGGAGATTGAGGCCCAGAGTCAGAGGCTGTTCACAGGGCTATCATAGAAACCGCTGTGTGTTTACCCAAACCCTCCTTTTCCCCTGAGAATATAGCTAGATTACATGTCCCAGCTACTCTTGCAATTAGGTGTGGCCTTATGATGGAATGTGACATCACACAGTTCACCTTAGTTAAAGTGGCTAAAGACAGGTATGGCTTTCCTCATCTACAGGTTGAATGGAGAAGACTGAGGACTCAGATGAAGAAAGCTGTAAAATACATAAAAGATCACTCAAGCAAGAACACTAACATGGAACTGAAATTTATCTGTTTTATTCCTACTTCAACCCTCCCGGTCCCGTGCATTTTCAGTGTCATACAAATATTGGCACTTGGCACTAAGTAAATGCTCTTAGAAGATAATTGTCAATAATGACAACAGAAGTGAATGGATGTGTTGTACATTATAAATATTATTGGTGTAATGACTTAGAGAACTCAGTATAATATACTCAACTTCACATTTAAGGTCATTATTATAAAAATGTATTAAGTAATGGGTAATTTTAAATATACGAGAATTCCAAACTATTTTAAAATCTAGGAGAAAGCATAACATAAGCCAAAAACTAATGGTGAAAAAACATTTTTCAATAAAATGAAGTTTTACACTGTCAAAATACTGACAAATGATTATATGAGCATTAGTGATCTAGGGATGAGAGAAAATTACCATGTCTAATTTTTGTAAGCCACAAAGTCTTTCAAAGAACAAGGTAAGGTAAATAAATCAAATATTTCTTTCTTAGGGTTCCTATATTTTGCATCACATTTTTAATACTTCATATTAAATTATCATTAATGACTAAACAGTGAGTTAACTGAATGTTTTTTGAGTGAGGAATTGCCATCATCTAAACATAAATGCTAATCCATGTTAAATTTATTTTACATTGTTATTACAGGTTACTTTTGATGTTGGTATAAGCCCAATAGGTAGGCCACCTCTTTTCTTGTCAAGAACTTTCAGGGTACTTTGGTTCAGAACATTAAACAAATCAGGATAACGTAGGAAGTATTTTGGCACCTGTCTTCAGGGCCTCATTCCCTGAGACTGATTCACTAGATCTGAGGTGAGGCTTGAATATTGTATTTTTAAAATAATTTTTATTTTTACCACTCTACAATAGATACATGCAACAGAATCCAACCTGTATACCCTAAATCTATTAAAAAATTTTTAAAAGGAAATTGTTATTTTTAATTGACAAATAATAATTGTAAATATTTACAGGGTAAAATGTGATGTTTTCATATCTGTATACATTGTGGACTACCCAAATCAGGCTAATTAACATATCTATCACCTCAAATATGTCTCATTTCTCATCTAAAACTCTCTTTTAGCTATTTTGAAGAACACATTATTAACTAGAGATGCCGAGCAATAGTACACTAAAACTTATTCCTCCTGTGTAACTGTATCTACTGACTCACACATCTCTCTCTCTGTCCACCCCCACTTTCAGTCTTTGGTAAGCACAATTCTACTTCCTACTTCAATGAGTGTGTCTTTTTTTAGGATTTCAAATACAGTGTAAGTGAGATCATACCAACCATTGAGCACTGTATTTTTTAAAAGCCCTATAGGTGATCCTAACATATATCACAGGCTGAAGGCCACTGGTATATATTTCAGTAAAGAGATAGATACATTACAAAAATGACCATGTGATGGACTTAGAGTTCAAAACACTGATTTACACAAAAGATACTTCACTTCAAATATATGTAAACTGAATTTCTTTGAATAAAATATTTTAAATGAACTATTAGAACTCAATGGAATATCTGTTATTTTCAAAATAAGCATAAAAGTAAAACATCAAAATTGTTTAAACAGCTAGGTATAGTGGCTCATGCTTGTAATCCTAGCACTTTGGGAGGCTGAGGCAGAAGGATCACGAGGCCAGGAGTTTGAGACCAGCTTGGGCAATATAGCAAGCTCTCTCTACCAAAAAAAAAAAAAAAAAAAATTGTCTATACGGTTGTCCCCAGGTATCCTCAAGGGACTGGTTCCAGGATCTCTGTGAATACCAAAATCCATGGATGCTCAAGTCCCTTATATAAAATGGCATAGTACAGTATTTGCATTTAACCTATACACGTCTTCCCATGTACTTTAAATCATCTTTAGATTACTTATAAGACCTAATACAATGTAAGTGCTATGTAAATAGTTGTTACAGTGTATTTTTATTATATTGTTATTTGTTATTTATTTTTGAAATATTTTTGATCTGCAGTTGGTTGAATCTTCAGATGTGGAAAGCCTACTGTATGCATATACAGTAACAAAAATGCTTCTAAAACAACATTTAAAACTTCTTTATTTGCTTTCAGGTCTTCAACTGCCATCACATGTTAAATGGACATGTTATTTTAATGTGACAATTAATTCACTGAGATTTCTGGGTAATCACTTCTATTGCTCCTTATGAAGGATCAAAAGAAGTGCACAAGCTTCTGATTTGTACCCTGCTGAAAAGTACGGCCATCATTCACAAAAGCAGCATGAAAGAGGAAAGAACAACACTATTCAAAACTTGAAGAGCTGCAAAGCTTTCTACCAATTCTTGTTTTTCTTTTTGTTTTAAACACTAGGCACATTGTACATACACAAGAATTTAAAGCAAATGAATTTACTGCACATCCATACAACTATAGGATCTTAGGCATTAAAGCAATCATATACAGAGTTTTTATGTCTAGAAGGCATCTCTCCAGTAATTTAACTCAACTTCTTTATTTTGCAGATGAGAAAATTTGAGGCCCCAAATGGCCAAAGTGACCAAGAAAGACACACATGCAACTGGTTGAAAAGCCAGGATCAGAAGGTATTCAGACTTGGTAAAATCATCCACAAATAGGAATTCTTGTTCATCTTTACACTAAGGCATCAGTGAGCGCAAGGACTAAGGGTATGAAAGGAGAGTGATGGTAGAATGTGAATGAGGATAATTTAACAGGAAAAAAACCAATAGAATTAAGGATCTCAGACCAAAGCCCACTGCCGTGTCACTGCTTCTTAGCTAGGTATAAGAAAGAGAGCAAGAGTTTCTTAGGTTTCCATGGGATAGAGATCCCTGGCTAATTAAACTGATTTTAATACTCTGGCTCTGTGTAATTGACAATATTAATACTTCCTTATACTTTATTTTCCTATTACTTGCTTTAGTTTGGAGGATCGAATTGGAGAGGTATTGGTAAGTGAAGTTTCCAGAGTTGTGCTGTCCAATACAGTAGCAACTAACCCCATGAGACTATTTTAATTAAATGAAATTTAAAATTCAGTCCTTTAGGTGGACTAGTCATATTTCAAATGTTCTATATTAGTTGGACTAGTGCAGAAAATTCTATTTCACAGTGGTGGTCCAGAGTCCTACAGACCTGGATCCAACTCCCACTCTGCCACTCACTGTGTATCACTGTGGACAAGTTATTTAACTTTTCTAAGCCTTACCTTCTTCAACAGCAAAACAGGAATAAGCAATGCATAGTATTTCCATTTAGGGGATCCCTCATGGGAGGATTATTAAATGAAATAATGTGTGCAAAGCACAGAGAAAGTGCACAATCAAGGTAAGCTACTGTTAGTAGAACCTTGCCTTTCAGTGGCCAGCGGGAAGGCCTGCAATCTCAGCCTTTTGTCTTTATACAATGTTATTCAGTTGATTTTTTTGTTAAATGACCCCCAGCATTATTAATTTTTACAACTAAATTTCATACTTCCCAGTAGACATCCTAACCAATACAAGCATCTGGGAATAGGCCACTTCTAGAGCATTTAAAATGTATTTCCCTCTGATTTCTGCTTGATCTTTTACTTAATAGCAGAGGAAATACATCTAACACCTCAGCTTAGTTTTATTTATATATTACTAAGATAACAAATCCTGTCTCAAAGAACTATATAAGATCATTCAAATCTTTTTTTTTTTTTTTTTTTTTTTTGAGACAGAGTCTCACTTTGTTCCTCAGGCTAGTGTGAGTGCTGTGGCGTCAGCCTAGCTCACAGC